TTGTTTATGCGACAATGCAGGAAGAAGCTCTTCGATGACAGGGGCAGCTACATCCAATTCGACATATAACAATAGGGCTTCGAGCGCAGATGCTTTGGTAGCAGCCCTTGTTGAACTCAATCCCTTCTCGACCAAGGAAGTTAATGTATGACTTCGTGTCCTGGTACAATGTTCGCGCCCACCAAACTTTAGGAAAGCGCATAATGCCGCGATACCATCTTGTTGTGCCGCAACGTTCGAATCTGCCACCGCTCCCTTCCACAATCCAGGGTCGTTAAGAAATGGTTTAAACACTGGGTCATGTTCATCTGGTGTGATCTCGAATTGTTTTGCTGCATCTTCATATGCTGCCTTTCTTACTTTCCATATCTATCACCGAGCGTAAGTATTAGTCTACGTTTACTACCAGTTGCAAGGGATTGATAGCGCAGAGGAGAGAAAAAGTCGTAATGGAACTTCAGCAGGGAAATCATACCTTGTGTTGAAATCTATCTGGGAGGGGTAGAGAACTGAAATCTTCTTCTTGCTCTGCCATCTTGGCTCCTGTAAACTTTTTAGGACTCTGCGGTAGCTTTCCAGTAGCTATCCGTTTGGTTAGCTTTAGCTTTGATAAAGACATGGGTAATGGAGGGGGAAGCTTCTCCAATCCCGTATAGAACATGGAGAAGTGGATTGAAGGCGTCGCAGATTAGAAAATGCCATCATTATTGCATATGGGAAAGAGCAACGGAAGCCACCTACCAATTTGATGTTGTATGCAAATTTGAGAAAGAGTTTATGGTCGTGGGGTAAATTTTGGGGAGAGGAAAGCACCGGTGGGTATGTAGATAGGATGGATTGTTTTGGTTGAAATTTGAATGACTTGACTTCTGATATTGATAGAATTATCTCATGTGAAAGTGGAAGGGGAAAAAGTGCTTGATGTTGATATAAATCCTGTGTATATCAAAATAGTAAACAACACACTTTGTTCTTAATAAGGATTGAGAATATAAATCCACCGTATAGAGTACGGCTTTGGGAGAAATGAATTGAATTGAATTGATGCGTTGTGTTGTGTTGTTGACTTTACCGCAAAATTGAAGAGAGGGTACTCCCGTCACCGTAACCGTAACGACCGATATCGATAAACCCCTGCCAAATTGGCGCGTGCACTCTTTTTCATAGGTAATCAGGTTGGGCGTCCCAAATGTATCAGGGGATGAAACTTTTTGGCCCAAGAAGAAGAAGCATCAAAGAATAAACGCGTGATCTGTCTGGAGTGAATGTCAACAGAAGAAAGAAATCTCAAATCCAAATGTTTCCAAATTACCTAGTACGTCCAGCTACCTACTGCTTAGATACAATTAGATGCCATTAGATACCATTAGATACTCATCGTATAACAAAACGTCATGAACCTTCCCTCCCACGGATTCTAGAATTCATGGCATAATAATGGTAATAATGGATTCTTGCATAATGTTGTTTCATATCATCTCATAAATAAGAATCCTCATCAATTGACCAAAGTATTCATTTTGTCTCAGTAGAACACAAAGAAAGAACTTCTGCCCTACCGCCTATCGTCAAAACAAAAGTTGTGGACACCCCGCGCTTCTGAGCATAAATAAAGTAGGTAGAGCCAGCCAGCCAGCCAGCTATCTATCTATCTACTAGGTATCTATCGAGCCATCCATACCCAACCTTAACACTTTACCGGTACGTGTAAAGGAACGTGTGCAAAAGCGTGTGTGCATACTTGCGCTTCGAAAAGTCAAAAAGGCATAAAATCACAACAAAACAAATTACCCATCCACGAGAACCCCCCTCCCCCCCCCCCCAAAAAAAGGCAAAAGAGATCACTATCAGATCCATATCGGAGACAAGAATCGAACCGTCTAATATTTCGCTTGCCAGGCGCATCAGCCTTGGAAGAAATTAATATCAGAGTCCCATTCAACTTCATGTATCGCATACAATAGTCGTCATGAGCCAATATCTGACGTCGCGGCAGGCCGAGGAGCTGTGAGTTGAACATATCTTCTTCATCACATCCTCATGATGGCTAATATTACTCTCGCAGGCACAAGTCTATGATAGCATACCTTACCTCGACGAATCTTTTACATAGTGCCGCGACGTTACGTGAGGAACTTGATATCGGTGAAAGCTTCGATTCGGCCACGAGTAAGAAATATGAAGGTCTGCTGGAGAAGAAATGGACAAGTGTGGTGCGGTTACAGAAGAAGGTGAGAATCCTCAATATCAATCTCAACAAGAGTTCCATACTGATGAGTGGGAAATAGATAATGGACCTCGAAGCGAGAAATGCAGCTTTACAAAGTGAAATCGATAATGCAACACCTACATCTCTATCAAATCGAAATACCGATCCCACAGCTTGGTTACCAAAATCTCCAGCGAGGCATAATCTCCAGTCGCACAGGGAAGCAATTACCTGTGTTGCGTTTCATCCAGTATTTTCATCGTTGGCATCGGGTTCGGAGGACTGCACAATCAAAATTTGGGATTGGGAGCTTGGAGAATTAGAACTCACTGTCAAAGGACACACCAGAGCAGTACTGGATGTTGATTTTGGTGGCCCTAGAGGAGGAACATTGCTGGCATCGTGTTCTAGTGATCTTACTATTAAATTATGGGACCCAAGCGATCAGTATAAGAATATTCGCACATTACCTGGACACGATCATTCTGTTTCAGCCGTACGATTCATACCTAGTGGCGCAGCTGGGTCGCCTTCATCTGGAAACCTTTTGGTATCAGCAAGTCGAGACAAAACTTTACGCATATGGGATGTTTCCACGGGATATTGTGTGAAAACTATTCGAGGACATGCGGATTGGGTTCGTGACGTAGCACCTTCTTTTGACGGTCGATGGCTTCTATCTGCTGGGGTGGATCAAACCGCAAGAATATGGGATGCATCATCAGGAGAACCAAAGGCAACTTTATTGGGTCATGAAAATACGATCGAATGTTGTGTATTCGCACCACCAGCAAGTTACCCTCACCTGGCTGCCATGGCAGGATTAAAGAAACCACCTGCAGCGAGCAGTTCCGCTGAATACGTCGCTACCGGAGCTCGAGACAAGAGTATTCGAATATGGGATGCTAGAGGTACATTGATCAAGACACTCATTGGTCATGATAATTGGATTAGAGCTCTTGTCTTTCATCCTGGTGGAAAATATTTGTTGAGTGTGGCAGATGATAGGACATTAAGGTGTTGGGATCTTGCGCAAGAAGGAAAATGTGTAAAGACAATAAGTGATTCACATGGTCATTTCGTCAGTTGTATGAGATGGGCTCCAAGTGTTATTAAGGATGTTCCTATTCTCAATGGAGAAAATGGAGTGGCAATTCCGACCAAGAATGGGAATGGGACAGCGAAGAAAGAGGATGCAAAAGTAAGCATCAGATGTGTTATTGCGACAGGGTGTGTAGACCAGGTTGTCCGAGTGTTTGCATCATGACCACATGTAAAGCATGTGCTATCAATAGGAGAATCGCCAAGAGAGAACTTTGATATCAGAGCAGCAGGAGTTCGTGGAGTTCGCTCATACCAGAAGAATAAATTCCTTGCTCCTCCTTGGCTATTGGAGAAATATGTCACGAACTTTATGCTTAGAATGTGTATAGGAGGAGTTGCATTGACTAGCTTCTCTCAATTACAATTCAATTTAATATGAAGAATAATTGACTTCAGAACAGAGAATTTACACTCTCAACACAATGGATGATGTTCTAAAAATATGAGGTTGAAATTAACAAGTAGAATCCTAAGCTCGTTGGCTCTCATGAAGGGGGGTAATATCTTTATGCGAGGTAAGCACATGACATGAATGGTCAATCTGGTGTCAGTAAATTTGAAGCACTTCCCTTCCCGCACAGGTGTATATGCAATGCGCAAAAGTACATGATTCAAACTTTATTCCAAGTTCAGTAACCTACCTTTTCCTAAATTTCATCGTACTGCCTACCTATGCACTTCTCGATTTGCTTCTCATAAGTCCTCACCAATTGGCGCTTTATATAATCAATTCTCAATCAGCACTCCACTGTCAGATGAGCCGTGAAACCCGTCATCCTGGTGCTCAAGAGTTATGTTCATCTCCAGGCTCCAATATATTGAGAATGGCATGGTTTCTATGTTGGATTGAGATTGTATCGATATCAATATCGATGTAGCGCAAATGAAGCTTGAGAGGATCTATCTCAAGAGAGAGGATACTTCCGGTCCTATATTTGAAGTGGAATGGTTCGAAATTATATCTGCAAGGCTATTATTATCTTTGGAGGTAACCAGTGACAATTAACGCCCCAGTGACGATAAATAACAGATTGACAATAAGCTAGGCGTCAGAATTTCTGTGATCAAACATCATTGGATGTGATAACCGACTGAAATCAACTCGTACCGCCAGGAAGGATGTAAAAAATGGAGATATAGTGCAAGCACACGAGCCTTTCAAGTAGGTAGTCAGGGTACGTGCAGGGAAATTATCATGCCGTGCCTGTTCGGTGCGAAGCAATTCCTCGTCTATAATTTATGGGGCATGAAGTAGATGTTCTTCACATACTACGGTATAATCATCAATATGGCAATTGTCGTGCACGTCAGCGCCAATGAACAATATAGATGGGGGCTCGAAGAGGATTTGTACCGAATACTACCGCTTGGAGACCGTTTCTCCATTAGTGCGATTAGACTTGGCATATAGTATGCATTCAAGCAGTCTATGATATCAGGAAATATGCGTTGGGGGGCTTCCTTAGTGGGATGGATTCGTAAGTCTTTGTTCTTTCGAACCATGGTAGACTAGTTTTCTCTCTGTTATTCTGTAGGATGTCCTTCGCAATTAATAGTTTTGACATTTGTTTGCTATTCGATGTTGTCTTTTTCTGATCGTTCATAATCGCTGTGTTGGCTTGTTCCTATTTCATCACATTCCGATCATTTTAATTCCTTCCATTCCATAAGTAGATTGCAGATAATCATGACAATCACTTTACGCCAGCGCTATATGCTACTTAGTGTATTCGTAGCCTCGACTATACTTCTTACTGGTTTCTATCTACTAGATAGTATAAGACCACTCACATCTCTTGCTCCTCCATCCGAACCAATCGAGACTGGACCAAAGCATCCAAAATATAAAACCTTGAAGCCTCCGAAAAGTTATCCTGTAGTTGATAATTTCCCTCTTGCTCTGAACGCACATTCAGCTTCAGAACTTCCACCAATTCCCAAGTGGAATCAACCTCCTAATCCGCATGTCCCCGAAAAAACTCCTCTGCTCATTGGGTTTACGAGGAATTGGCGTCTTCTTCAGCAGGTTGTTGTTTCTTATATCACTGCAGGATGGCCTCCTTCGGATATATACGTCGTCGAGAATACAGGTGTTATGAATTCAAATAAAGATGGACAACTATCACTTCAAAATCCTTTCTTTCTCAATCATACTCGATTGCATATGCTTGGTGTGAATGTCCTCATAGCACCTACTCTACTCACCTTCTCCCAAGTACAAAACTATTTCTTATGGACAGCTATTGAGAACAAATGGCCAACTTATTTCTGGAGTCACATGGATCTCGCCATTCTGTCATTCGAGGATCGATGGATAGATGCTCATCCAGATAATGTCAATCCCTCACCCAAAGAGTTTCAATCCCTCTACGATCATTGTGTCTCCGCTCTCCGCAATGTAACGACTCCAAACCCCGAAACAGGAGTCGTAAAACCATGGGCCCTCGAATTCTTCTCCTACGATCGTCTCGCTCTCGTTAACACGGAATCCTATCAAAAAGTCGGAGGTTGGGATACCTTGATACCTTTCTACGGTACCGATTGCGACATGCATGAAAGACTCGCCATGGAAGGATTCGAAATGAGAGACTGGCCTGCGGGTGCTATCTGGGATGTAGCGAGTAGTCTGGATGATCTCGAAGTTTTGTACCGAAAGAAAGAGGGTCCAGATCCTTCTTTCATTGATCCGAATGCCGTCGAAGAAGAACTCGCTAGAGCAGATTCGAACTCAACAACCGATGCATCTCTTCCATCTGAGAAGCACCCCCGCGATCTCAGCTCGAGAAATCTTTTCTCGGATAAAAATCACAGAGAATGGACCGATGAGCCCGTAGCCCAGGAATCATGGCGCAAACTTCTAGACGTATTGGGTCACATGGGAAATTCCAAGGTCGCGAATAAAAACGGACGAAATACGTGGCAGGGAAGACAGGTGGGCGGACAAAATGATCCTTACTATAGGGATTCCGAGGGCTTTGAGATAGGCATTCAGATGTCGATTGAACATGGGAGGAGAGTGTTTGCGGAGAAATGGGGACATAGGGATTGTGATTTGAGGGCGCAGGGATTGGTGCCTGGCGATGCGTGGAGGGTGGAACGGGATTGGTAGGGGTGGAGCGGGTGAGGCGCGCTGGGCTCTTGGTGGTCGGGTTTGTATATATTAACGGTATTTGGGAATTGAATCTGTATATTTATATCACATGGAGTGCGTGTTTCGATGGCGTTTAGGGGGAGGGGTCGGTATGGAATAGCTAGATTGGTTGGTTATGTATGTACTCGAGTGAGAAAATATAATGAATTATGATTCTGGTTTTATGGCGTATTTCTGCTATGTTTGTATAATTGTTTGAACGGAGAGTGAGGATGTAGAAGGTGATGGGGTAGTTTATTTTGCTAGGCTGAGAATTTGGAGGATTTGGGATGGAGATTGTGGGGGGTTAGGTTGAGGTAGGAGAGCGGGGATCGGGATCGAATCGATGAAAGTATAGGAGTTGAAGTTGGTGTTGTGTGGCTTGAACTCCGAGTTTTCCTATCGAAATGAATAGAAGAGGAGGGATGATAGGAAGAGGGATTTTACAGCGGCTTTTTGGGGGAAGTGATGATATGATAAGCGATGGATGTGATAGGTGATGAAGCTTTGTGGGAGGTGTGAGCAATGGGTATTATGTAGATATGTGTTTAGGTATGAAATATCCTCTCCTATATAATTTAGTATCGAGATAGGTGGGTAGTACCAAGTTAATTATATCCAAAGTATCTTGCATCGGGATTGGAATGGATAGAGTAGAAGTGACTGATTGATTGTATTCCAAGATCCCTATGCAACCCTCTCACCCCGTGATCCAATATATCTCAACTCCTCAAACCATACCCAAGTCTAAACCCCAAACCCATTCCTAGATCCAAACAAATATATACCTAGCGAAACCAAAACCAAAACCCCTCCCTCACTCCCCCGTCAAATCCAAAACCTCCACCTCCTCCGCTCTCCACGCTCTACTCCTCCCCTCCACTAACTCCTCCCTCCCCACTTCCCTCCACGACCCAGGTAATGATTCGCGCAGCATAATGTATCTCCTCGTATTTTTCTCCCTTTTCCCTTTATCAAACGATACATTTTCCTCGACGATTTCCGTTTCGATTGTATGTTCTCTTATCGTTTCACTTTCATTGAGTTGCTCTCCTTCTTTTTCTTTTTCTCCTTGCAGATTTCGTCGCGATAGGGATTTGAGAGATTTAGGTTTGAGGGGCGAATGGGAGGGGGAATTGGTGATGTTGTAGATTGTCGTGTTGATGTTGATGGTAGTGTGGTATGTGGGTGTGTAAGTATTGTTATGATCGTGGATATGTTCGTAATCGTAAGCGTAATCGTGGTTGTTATGTTGCGGACTCATTTTCATTGGGAGGGGAGAACTAGATGGGATGACAAGTTTGGGATATCCGGGAGAGTCATCGAAATCTTGGATCAATGGTTCGGGAAAGGCGGATGGGGTTCCGGGAGGGGAGGAAGTGAGGTCGATGATTCTTCCTGGTGAGTAACTTTGTGAAGGAGCAGTTTTGTAGGAAGATTTGGAGATGGATGAGCAGCCTGAGGAAGAAGATTTATTGCTTGAAGAGTGCAGTGAAAAATCAATTTTGCGGTTTGTGGGTTGGGGAGTGAGTGGTGGGCGGGTACTTGGATTTGTATGGAGAGCTGCCAGGGGTGAAGAGAGACCTGATTTTGTGTTTGTTGGGGGTGGAGATCGCTTTTTCCGTGGGGAGGGACGATTGTTATAGATGGGGGTTCGGGTAGGTGGAAGAGATGGCTCATCCGCTTCGTCATCGCTTAAGGAAATGGGTTGTTGTCGATGTTTTTGTCTGGAGAGTGGCGAGGGGATGTATTGAGGTTTGGGACTTGGACTCATTGAGCCATACGTTTGAAATGCTTTAGTTGGAGTTGAAGGTTTTCGAACACGCGAGGCCTTCGTAATTTGAGGTAAAGGTTGAGAGAAGGACGATTGAGATGTAGCCCAAGGATTCAACCTTGCGTTTTCCTTCTCTTTGATAGCAGCGGATTTGCGACCGCGTATGAGTCGTTTCTTTGTCACTACTGGTACTGGTGACTTAGGACTTCTAATACTTGGAGCCAAGAATTGAGGTGGTAGCTCATCTTCGGATAGTTCGACATTTCGGGTAGGCTGACTCGATGCTTTGGCTGTGGGCCTGATGCCTCGTTCTGACCTCTCGACAAAACGATCCATTGCACCCTTAGACATACCACCGGTACTTTTACTTGATTTTCTAGACTTGGTGGTTTTGGTTTCTGCTCTTTTTGCAGCAGCCTTTTGTTTCGAGGCTTTTTTAGGATCTCGAAGAGCTTCTTCATAGTCCTCTACAGTAAGTGGTACGCCAACCTTAACAATAGACTCGAATATCCATAGTTTATCTGCTTTTGTGGGATCATATGGAGAAGGTCCACGTTTTCGAGGAGTATCAGTTGGCACCGCATCATCCGATGCGTACGCCTGAATTTGATCGTCCTCGAGAAGAGGGGCCAAGCCATCTCTTCCATAATCTTCGACCTCATCGTCTTCTTCATCTAGATCAATATCAACTATTTCGAGAGGCTGGTAGATGACTCTCAGCTCTGGAACTTCATCCGTGGTAACATGTCTTCTTTGGCCACAGATAGACTTTACCAATTCCATCTCATTAAGTTTTGTAAGCATAGGGTCATCGTATCCGGATTCTTGACGATCTCCACGTTGACGAAGTTTTGTTAGCAACAACACTGGTGCTAAACCTCGTACAAACTTTTTGGCTCCCTCTTTGCCTTTCCATTCAAATGCATCGCCAACGAAATTTCGAAGTCTCGGAACATTAATCTCTCCCTCCCATACAATCTGATCCCGAAGCCTTTCAACCTTCGCTAAAGACGAAACAACAGGATGCGTATAATAACCCAAAACTTTACGATCCGGGAAATCTTCAGGGATTTGAAGAGCCTTTCTTTTGGTTCTAAAGAACTTGCTTTCGTTTGTGAATAATTCATGGGCTAAATCTGCTCTCCATTCATCATACGCGGCAACATCCTCTCTTCGAATCTGACACAATCTCTTTCCAAATCCGGCTCTAGCAGCTTCACAAGCAACTTTCACACCACATCCAGGAATTCCTTCGGTTTTATAATCGCCACCACTCATCAAGGCTACTAGAATCATACCTTCACGATCCAATCCTGATTTACCAGCTTTGGTAGCTTTAGCATCATAAACATTAACATGTGTTGGTGAACCAGCACCACTCTTCTTTTCCGTTGCCCCAGCAGACCAGCTTCGGAATGTTAATCCACTTCCAAACATAAGTGTATCGACATCTTCACTCAGAACAGCATCTACAACTCCTTCACGCTGTAGAAGAGCACATTCTGCTTCGGCTTCCCCAGGAGCAATATGATATGCAAATCCAAATAGCTTAAGTAGCTCTTTAGTCATCAAATCCGGAATCGAAGCACCGCCTCGCCCCGTTTGCTTGTTACGTTTAACGGGCGGTTTATGAGGCCCATCAAAGACAAACAATGGTTGTACGGAAATAGAAAGAAGTCTAAGAAGTCGATAGTACAGTGTTCGCAGCGCCGGATTCGTACCACCTATGACCGATGAGTCGTATATCCCCATGATCATGTGCTGATCAGCTTACCTTGACCAGACTGGATTTGGAAGTTCCAAATCGAGATATCGATTGCTATCCGCAAAGGAATTCCAGTTTTCTCATATTTCTCAATCGAGATTTTCGAAAGAGCTACTCTTTCTCCGGGTCCAATTTCCCCGTAAATTCTGAAAGTTTGTTCAGTATATAGAGCTTGTGTTGTGGAAAATATCGTCACTTACCCCTTGATACCCATGATGGCAAACGCAATTCTTCAAATCTAATTCCAAAAACTATACATAATAATAGCACTGCTATTAAGAAATAATAACTTTACAACGTAAAAGCAAAGAGGTGTGGTTTGAACGATAATGCTAGTGAATGAAGTTGAAGAAAATCGATAAGAATAGTTTCACCGATATCCTTGTTGACAGTTTCTCGTTGCCACAGCAATAAAGGTCAACCCTCCAAAAACCAACTAAAAGAACCATGGATACTAGCAATAGGTAATTGATACGACCCCGGTCTCCAAGCTTGCATGCCGAGTTAGGATGGAAATGGAATCATAGCAAAATGTCGCATTCATCCGGGCCAGCTCATCGCAGCGTATCGAATATTCGTCCATCCATAAATCCACAGGGTGGTAGTGGTGCGCCTTCAACACCGCATACGCCTGTTCGACAACTCTCAAACTCCTTTGGTTCGCCCTCTACGCTGCGTGCAGAAGAAGAATGTGTAGTTATTGAACTCGGATGTCGATATGTAAAGGTCGGTTTCGCAGGCGATGCAGGACCTAAAGCAGTCATAAATTTTGGACCAGAAGAACAGAGAAGAGCGGGGGATTTTAGGAGATGGCAGCCGGGATATGATAAAGCTTGGAGGGAGAGAATACACGGGAAGAAATGGGGAGAAGCACATGAGCTATGGAAGTTGGATTTGAGGGATGTGGACTTGGGGCTAGTAGGCGATAAGATTGAGAGAGCTGTGAGGGATGCTTATACAAAGTTTGTAGAGCCTCTTCTAGTTGGGAGAGGAATGTTACTGATCATGGTTTTGCAGATTCCTACTGATCGATTCGAGGCCGAGAAAAGTGACTTTGGCACTCCCGTCTATATTACCATCACCTCTTCTCTCTACAATTTTAGATACGATGTTTACGAATTTCCAATCTCCGAATATATCTCTGCATTCTACACCAGCACTCACGACGGTAGCTGCAGGTCTACGAGCTGCTATGATTGTAGATATTGGTTGGAACGAAACCATAGTGACTGGAATATACGAGTTCCGAGAAGTATCGAGCCACAGATCTATAAGGGCGACGAAGTTATTAGGACAAGCGATGCGCGCACTGTTGGCCGAATCTTTCGACCCAAAAATATTGATGCAGGAGTCAATAGACGGCCAAGAAAATGTGGCCTTGGAAGAATTTATAAGTTTCGAAGAGTGCGAAGAAATAGTCAATCGAATGGCATGGTGCAA